ACGAACACTCCCAAGTCTTCATTTGATCCAGATTTGATCCTCGTGTTTTTTTTTTATTATTAATATTTTATTTTGCTCTCAGTCTGCATTTTACCCCTGGCCTGCAGTCTGCAGACTGCATTTTACCCTCAGTCTGCATTTTACCCCCGGTCTGCAGTCTGCAGTTTGCAGTCTGCAGACTGCGTTTTACACTGACCGATTTATCAAGTCCCATAAGTATTCCAATGTTGGCAATCCGTGACAGTATTTCTCTTTTGAGCTTGTTTCTTTCCCTTTCTCGTTCAGTGAACCGATAAGCTTTGCCCTTTTCGGTTAGCTTTGGTTGTCTTCAATTTCAAGTTTCCTTCTCCATTCCAATTTTTTTCTCTGAAACGCGGACATCAACCTCCATGACAGAATCGACCCCTCCATTTTCTCTTGTAGAATAGCCCGACTCTTTTCCATGGGCTCCTAACATTGTAGAATAATACTGAGGCCAACGCATCGCCTTCTCATCTGGAGTTTACGCGTGTTCATGCGCCGTGGTTTGGCCGTCGTCGCTCGTAAGATCCCACATCGACATCGTAAACAATCAATTTCCAAGTAGCAGTTTCGACAAAGAAATAATTCCCCACCAATAACAGAAGAACTCGAAACCAGAATTGAACACCAAATAATACTGGTACCAAAAACCAACCACAGAAACGAAACGACGGTCGAAGAACGACGATTTGAAGCCAAACAAATGCCAAACAGCTTGGGTAATTCAGCGAATCGAAGAAAGCGTAAGGGCCAATTTTCAATTCCCTTGGTCTCATAGGCCCTTACAGTTACTTCGATTCGCTGAATTACACAAGCTGTTTTGGCATTTGTTTGGCTTCAAATCGTCGTTCTTCGAGCATCGTTTTGTTTCTGTGGTTAATTTTTGGTACCAGCATTATTTGGCGTTCAATTGTGTTTCGAGTTCTTCTGTTATTGGTGGCGAAGGATTTCATTGTCGAAACTGTAACTTGGAAATTGATTGTTTACGATGTCGATGTGGGATCTTACGAGCTACGACGGCCGAACCACGGCACATGAACACGCGGAAACTAAACTGCGTGGAAAATACACGAACAATACAGGGAAGCAACAATATTGAAACAAGGATTTCTTACGTGAAGTAATTACAGCCTCATATTTTCAACGAGATGGGAACAGAGAAACCTCAAATGAGAAAATCCGAAACGGGTACTCTTTGTAAACGGTGATGGACAAAACACTGACCCCTAATCCATGGACTACCCTAATTAGGGACTTTCATACCGGGAAGCCTGGGTACTTGTCTCGCGGTTTGTAGGGACAACAACAAATATGGCGGCAGTGTGACAAGAAAGAATGGTGAAGTGGTTTTGTTGTTCAACATTCTGTACCAACAATTTACGAACGCGAAATCCTCAAAGGGAATCGACCAAGTTTTATCGTTTGCCCCGTGACCCTGAGGTTCAAGCTGCCTACACCAGGATTCTTCAAACGACGGGTATAACCTGGCATTCTTGCCATATTTGTGCGGAACATTGGAGCCGTGGATATAGAGAGAACGCGAATGCTGATTTTCCTGACATCTCTGCCCCAGCCTCTCAATTAGTGACACTGGAAAAAACGCTTAAACAGGCGAAAGCTCAACTAGAGAGAAAAGCAACAAAGCATGCCAAACGAAAAGTAAGTAGTCTCGAAAGGAAACTTTTTCTGGCCAAGCGGTGTTCTGTCGTTTCTGGATCTAAAAAAAGAGAAGCTCCAACAGAACTTGAAAGAGATCAGCCAACTGCTGAAAGGTCAAGGAAGTTATCTTAACGACAGTTATCTACTCGTTTGGGTGCGTTGGAAGAATATGAGCAGCTATTGACCGAGCAGCTGACCAATGCTCAAGACATGGTTAAAAAAACTGAGGACTGAAAATCTCAGTTTAAAAATTAAATTGCGAAACATTGAACAAACCCAGCAAAATACCAATAAACAAAATGAGGAGCTGAAGATTGCTCTAAAAAGGCTACAACAAGAGCAACTTAGCTACTCTAATCTCATTAAGAAGCCAAATACATGCGTACATTTAAATACTTGTGTGGGTTATCTGTTGAACAGTTCAAAATGATAAATTACTGAGTATGTCT